CGCAAACCCTCGAAGAACTTCTCTTCGACGCCGCCAATCTCTCTGGCGATGAAGACGATGACAACGAGAACAAGACCCAGCTCGCCAAAGAAGAATCCAAGCTCGAGAAGGACATCATCCGGGTCATTCTCAGCGGCAAGACCGATTCCCTCAAACCCAATTCGGGTCAGGCCGTGACGATTGGGGAGCATCACATTTGTGTCGGGTTTCATGAGGAGACGGGTTCGGATTATCGGGTCTGGGAGTGGCATGGGCATATCATGCTCTTCGATGAAGAAAATGGATACACTCCAGAGTATATATATGGGAATTACTTTGAGAGACTGATTGGCAAGGCTCGTACTGGCAGTAGTGGTGCTCGTGTTGAGGAGGAGGCTAAGGAGGAAGAGGAGGACAAAGAGCAGGTGGGAAATTTGGGGCTCAGGGAATTGATTGATGGTGGGGATTCGGGTCAGGGTCGGATTCTTCATCGGAATATCAATGCTGGTTCTTCAAGGTTTATATGAATTAACGTTTTTTTTCCTTCCATATTTTCGTTTAATGTGCTTGTGTTTTATTGCTTTCGCATTTTTTTACTGTTGAAGTGCTTTGGATTTTGAAAGTTGTTGTGAGTTGCAGAAATGCTATATGCTATGTGATCTTGGAAACTTGTTGTTAGTGACTGCGCTGTTCTACTTAAATTGCAATTTTGTGCTCATTAGCCTAAGATTTTATCCAACTTCTCACATTGAGGTTTGGAGTAATCCTTCACTCAAATATCAGAGTAAAGAGCTTATGCCAACTGTTTTTACGAAAGATGGCACATATGGAAGGACACATCTATTTTGTAGTTAGAAATAGTAGTAAGTTGGATTTCTGTTTGTTTTGAAGTCATCATAATTGTACTAACTTAAGTTGAAAGCTCAAAAGAAGATCATGTATTTCACTAGCACTGTAATGAACAGATATGCAGTAGGTTGATGGAATAAGATTATAACCATTGGTGATTTGCTTGCTTAGATTATGAAAAAGGTTATCCTTTAGGATGTTCAAGATGTTGACATAAAAGCTTATGAAACTTCAAGTATCTGCCTGCTATTACCAGGTAGGCTGAGAAAAAGAAGTTTTGGTCAAGTAATTTTTCATATATATAGTCTGTTATCTTGAAATTGACAATATGAAGAACTAGGGACTAATTCTGCTACCACCCGCTCTTACCATCAATTGTTGCCATCTTTGGCAGGCATCACACAAGGACCTAGGGGTTATTCTGCTTCTGCTTGCTCTCACCATCAATATATTCTCATATTTGGTATTCTTAACAATATACTCCCAGCCACCCTTGATTGTTGACCCTTATGCTTGTTCAATCAATCTGTTTCATGTTGATTTAATGACAAGGAGGTTTATAGTCCTCTTGGAATATATGTGTTCTCTGTCTAGATCTAGATCTTGTTCTTGTTTCAAGTTGGTTGCTCCCTCAATATCTTCTTCTTCATCGTCCTCTTATCCCCAATGGATTCATGTGGCAATGTGAAGAAAAAGAAAATAATTGTAGCAGTTGAGTTGAATTCATCTTTAAGTAAGTTGTGCACATGATCCTTCTGAAGTCTCTTTCTCAAGCCTTCCACCAAGCATTATATATTACTATGAAACCTTGGATGTGGTATGTTTCCTTGTAATAATCTTCTACACTTACTTGAATCATCATGTTCCACTCGTGTTTGTGGTAAGCTGTGGTTCAAAGCTCCAAACTGCCAGGAATTTGTTTAGGATTTTGGAATCATGTCACCACCTTCATGCAAACTATTTCTTGTCTTACGGTATTTAATCATTCACTGTCTATATGTACAAACCATGCCGACCTTGCCATTTGCTATGCTTTGCGTGTTTTCCATGATTATCTTTCCTCTTACAGGGTTTAGTGGAGATCAAAGATTTGGTTTGCATAAGAAGTATTAAAGAAGGAGCTAGCAATGATCTTCTCATTTCATTGTTTACTTGGGGTGGGAGATCAAGGCTACTTATCAATTTAGAATGGTATTTGTATGCTGTTTTCTGTTAGCTTTTGTTTGACTTTCAATACGTTGGACAGTACAGAAGAGGAAGAAGATATGTTTTGTGAGACTTCATTATGTTAAAGTAGTTTTTGATTAGCTTATCAATGGACGAAAATGGTGCATCCATCTTTGATTTTACTTGGTTGTAAATTTTAGTTTTGCCTCTGTGGCTAGGCTTGTGGTTAAAGCTAGGGGTCCAATGGCCATTGGTGATCATTTTCAACGAAATGATTTGCAGCCCCCTGTGTGTCTGTGTTAGGCCTTTAGCCCCGTTATGTGCCCAAAAAAAAAGAGACTCGGCCTCTACTCAAATCGTGGAAAAAAAAAACCAGAACAAAACTACTTTATTAAGTTTCT